GAGAAGGAGAAGGAGAAGGAGAAGGAGAAGGAGAAGGAGGAGAGGAAGGAAGGAAGGAAGGAAGAAAGGAAGGAAGGAAGGAAGGAAGGAAGAAAGGAAGGAAGGAAGGAAGGAAGGAAGGAAGGAAGGAAGGAAGGAAGGAAGAGAGAGGGAAGGAAAGAATCCTGAAAAACATTCCTAGGAGAAACAACTCCTATCTAAGTCACCCAGGGTGGACAGGCCAGAGATAGAAGGGAAAATCACACAGGTGAGAGTGGTTCCAAAAGTTTAGAAAAAAGAATTTAATAAGAAAGTGATCAATAAGTGAGCACTGCTGAGATACATGAAGATGACTGTCCAAAATATGTCTTATTCACCTTTGTTTTCCTAAGTGTTTAAGAAAATGACTGGAACACAGAATTGAATAAATGTAAAGTCCATTTTAACCCCCAGAAGTAGTACTCCAATATTGTTAGAGTTATATAATAAGTAAAACGATAACAAAAGGGAGGGAAAGAGGGAGGATGACATCTTCCCCACCTCAAATGCTCATCCAGCCCCCAGGTCTTTCCATCTGGTCTCCCTGAAAATCATCCTATACAATGAGGCACAGCAAAGTTCCCACATCCCTCACGTGCTTTCGGGACCCTTACTGCTCACAGCACTAAAACTCCAGATTTCTCTGGCAGTTGCTCCCCCGTGGGGAAGCAGCCTTCCAGCTCCTTGAGACCTCCCTCTTACCCCGCTAGGGGCTGAAACACATCAAGAGCCCGATTGTCTCACAGGTGTGCACAGTACAGCGCTGCCATTTTCCTATCATCTCTTATCGGCAGTTCAGTTCCTCATGCTGCCATTTCAAGAGAAACCAAGGTCTCCCGCCAGATGCCACTGTCGATCCTCACCTATCAACTGGCACTGGAGTACTACCGGGTGCCACACCTTGTGTTACTCTTTCATGAGGCAGGCCACTGAGGACTTTTCTCAAGCACTGTGACTAAATGCCCAGAGCCTTCTAGGTGCCTCCGGGAGTTTCCTGTGGCTATGCCCTCCTACCTTTATCTACCACCTGTAGAAGTGCCCCAAAGCAGTGCTGCTCTTGGTCTCTTCTTACAGACCTGAGTGGAAGAGCTCTTCCCATGCTTAATAATTTTTTACTTACGGACCTCTTTCTCACTCTAAATTCAGGCATAGATTGTTGCTGTATCTATCTTTTCATATTTATCCATGAATTGCATATATGGCTTTAAGTACCTGGTGTTAAAAAGTGCTTAGGGCTTTTTCCTTTTTCTTAAGGAGTGCTTCAAGTTAAATGGACTAGGGAGAACAGCAAAGGGTGTTAAATTATTGAAATCAATCCAGAAGTCACATTGCAACAGGCTTCATGGGTACATTTGTGATCAAACTGCTTCCATTTTTACTTCTTCACCCCAGTGTCTCACAGTCACCACAGCTCAACTACTTTCTATTTAGTAATCTCTGGGCATTTTCCCATTGTTTCAAGTACCAGCCTACAGATTCTCTTCCAGGTCAAAGTCCCAAGAAAGACCCTGACTGGTCAAACTAATTACTATTACTCTTTAAGGGAATATGTGTTAGGACATCTCATGGGCCACCAATTCTCCTTTGGGTCAGTGGTGACCACAACATAGTATCATGTGATACCTGTAAGAATACATGCACAAGTCACCTCCCACCAGGAGTGTGTATGAGTAGCAGTAGGCATGCTCAGACATGATCTTCTTCCACTAGGAAACAGTATATTTCTATGTACAGAAACCTTTAGCAAAGAGAGTACTAGGCACGTGGTAAGCTCTTAAATACTTTTTAAGCTCCGTGGCTTATAGAGTAAGTTTCTCTTCCTTTAAATGGAATGTAAGTCCACTTAGACTATATCTCAATTTGTTACTCCAGTTTTCTCTACTAATCTTAGTTTTCCCTAAACTCTCTATGTAATCAACAGCTGTTGAGTGCTGACAACATGCCTGGCACTTTTCTAAGTGTCACATGAGTTTATTAATTTGATCCTCCCCAGAAACCCCATGGACATATTTGCCCCTGCAACCCTGGCAAGATGGAATTCGGGTGACAGTCCTCATCACATCACTGTCTCTCCAGCTGGCTTCATGGAGGGTGCCATCTCACACGTGCAGTCACACTCCCAGTGGCGTCCGCGTTGTGGATGCAGGGGCCCGCTTCCCGGTTCCGCAGCGCGGGCCTCGGGTTCCTCTACCGCCCTCAGAGCCTAGGGACTGAGTGGAGTCCGAAAGGAACGTTTGAGTCATTTATAGGAAAATGGGTGACTCTCGAGACCATAATGATAAGTGAAATAAAACACAGAAGGTTAAATATTGTACAGATTCTCTAATGCGAGAAAATATAATTCCGTTAACGCCAAAATAAAAGAGATGGTAGGAAACAGGGAAGGGGAAGAAAAATGATCAAGATGGGCTGTGTAACCGTGTCAGTTCCCCTAAATGAAGGCAACTGTTTTATAGCACAACAATATACTAATATACGAATATTAATAATGTAAATAAATCTGGCCGTAGATTAGAAAAACCTCGAAGTTCCCTCCTAAATATGTGGGATTCCAAGCAGAAAGCAACCGGTTGTAAGAAAGCTTTAGCGGTTATTTTTCTTTCTGTTACCTCTTCCCTCTCGACATTTCAAAATGCAACAAGCGCACTCTCTAATTAAAAGAGAAACAGAAAATTACTTCTTGCAGCTCCCCGCACCAACAGCCCTCCCAGTTCCGGGTCTGCAAGAGAAGACCACGCCTCCGCAGCGCGGCTCTGTGCCGATGTGCGCATGCGTGCAGCTGGCCGGTCGCCGCCTGGGGCGAGGCCTCGTGCTGACGTCACAGAGGGCCGCGACGCCGCCGGGGCTCCGGGCGCTGACGGCGGCGGTAGCCGGTTCGTGTGCC